CTCCTCGCCAATGGATGTAAGTCACCACACTTGACTGCAGTCTAGGGCACTTTACTACCGTCCCTGATCTGCATCGACTTTTAGTATATGGGTAACCTAAGTCAGTTTTACTGTATCATCCAAGTTTAGATAACTTGTGACTAATATCTCGGATTGAGATGGGGCCGCGTGCATGTCGTAAAAGTGCATGCAGGTGCAGGCTAGTATCTCTAGGTGTATCCTTAGGTACTTGAGATTCTCTCACATAGCTGTAAACCTAAGCCAAGTCCCCATCTATTGTCGATCCGTCTTCTGATCGAGCTGATCAGTCAGTCGGTAGTTTTGCCGAGTCGCGGGATGTGAGCAGACCGGTTTCTCTCGCAATACGAGAGGAGAGTTTTCCGAGGCCGTTGCGGACGACTAGGTGATTAACTCTATGTGCTAGAGGGCTCCCTTGACTCTGAAGCGTCGCCCGATGCGAGCTTCGTTCTCTTCACAACAGTTGAAGAGCGGATCTTTACCCGTGTGAAAAATAGTGGTGCAGTAGTTCGTACAAGACGACTACAGATACACATTGGCCTAAGCGTGGCTCACGCGATGGTTGCCCTCCTGTGTTCAGGAGGTAGAGTACGTTTGAGCATCCTCGGCGAGAAGATGTTTCAATAGTACAAGATGGCAGGTGAATTGCTGACAGTCTCCGTTTCCCTACCTAGGTTGAAGCCTAAAATCTACAGTAGTAGATTCTAGCAGCTTTTGTATATTGATTGGCTCATTGCCAATCTCACTTTGTAAATAACTTGCAATAAATGATTAATTACGGAAGTGCGTTGTGTTATGTGATTGGGTATGGGCAATCGTCACAGCTGCTACATAACACCCACTTCTGTCACGAAACTTTGGATCTCGCGGTTCCAAGACTGCCTTTTAGCAATATGAATCCCATCTATTCAATCACCTAGCCTATAATTTAGAAGCGCTTCCGGCTATTGAATTTTGCTTGGCCATCTGGAGCAGAGACTTTCAGGTATCATCGCCACTGAAAACGATGAGCTACTTCGGCCGTTTGACGAGCGGGGTACAAAATATTTGCTGCGAACAGAACCTGAACTCTGGATGACGGAGTGCAGTGCGCAGAGGTTGAAGGGAGCCATTTTATTCGTAATATTCAGTAGCCTCTGAACCACCTGGAACAGCAAATTTCGCATTAGGTGGTTAAGCAGCATACGAATGATATTACGTTTTGCATCTGTTTAAAGTCTCCTATAAATGAAGTGTTTAGAAGGTAAATAACAGAGCTGGGAAGGATTAGTACTCACTCATTAACGTTTGGCTCCCTAAGCGCAATCAGCTTAACGGAAGTTTGAAATAATATGAATGAAAATGAAAGGCATCATAAAACAAAAAACACAATATAACAAGAAAAACTATTGACAGGAAATTCCTGAATTGAAGAGAGAGCACAATCCTGAAAGATAGTCCCAGTTACTGGAAAAGAAGAAACCGTCTAGGAGAACCCTTGTCCCGGTAAGGAAAGGCCGACATTCCTAACCAACGATGCTGGAGAGGAAACCTAACATAATCACGCTAATGAAGTGAGAATTCGTTTTATGTGAGCACAATCCTATAGAATACTTCTAAGAAAGGACCATACTCAGAAGTTGTGGTGGCATTCAGTATATTTGAGTCAGCAATTCTACCTTACCACAGCCTTCTAATGTGAATTCCGGTTCCTCCGGCTAAAATCTATTACTATTTAATTGTTAGAAAACATTTTCGCCCTTCTCACTATTCACCACACGAGAGAAAGTATTACAATACGAGCAGACAACAATGTGACGAAGGTGAGATTCCAATAGTGAGGACATCCATCCAAAGGCTTTTACTCATTAATCTAAATAACGCCGTTTAGCAATGATGCATTACGCAACGGGATAGCATTGTCACACTCAATTACTTGAAGTTCAACGAAGGCGTGTATGGGCTATTGAGAGCATAGTTTATGAAAAAGTCGACATCAACTGTAAAATGTAAAAAAGACTAAGTTTGTAAGCTCTGATGGAATCCTCTGCGATCAAAGGTGCTCCAAAGCGCTCAAAGGGAAGATGTAACGAACAGTTGTAAGGCCTGTGATGCTGTACGGTAGCTAATCCTGGCCCCTGGACAAGAATCACGGAAAGTGGCTCCACTTCGCTGACTGATGATCCTGAGATAGGCCTATGGCTGGACGCGACTACACCGGGTCAGAAACGAAGATGTCAGTCTGGTAATGCACACTGCCACTATCCGCTAAAACTACGAGCAGGGATGGAGTTCGATTTGCAAGGCGAGTGATCATGGGAAGCCCCAAAAAGAGGTGGAAGGACCTTGTGAAGAAGGACCCTCACTGAAATCAGCGCCACGGCAGAGTAAGCCTTGGACAGGTCCAAGGGGCGACTTTAACAGGATCGCGGACCTTAAGTGCGCGGGATTAACGGAGAAGATAAGGGTGTTGGGTGATACACTGTCCTGCCGACTCGAAACCCCATCGATCTTTGAGCTAATTTTCGTATCGCGCACTGCATTCAAAGGCAGCGATTACGACAAGGAGGAAGTGCATGGGGAAGCATATGCACCACACGAAGCATTTACTTGGCTACCAAGGAAGCGAGATGTGGCGCTTCCACGACGGGGGGTGCGCTTGCTGCTGAGCAGGACTTTGAAAGCACTCCGCCCCAAAAGCGATCCGCCCACTAGTTAAGTTGGTGATTTGGAGATGTGCGTTGCCAGCCGGCGCAACTTGGGTAACTCGATTGGACCGTGGTTTGGCATGCTGCCACCAAACGCATTGCGGTGAACTAGTTCATACGTTCGATTTTTGAGCTGTTAGCTGTTCATGAGTGAGAAAGGAATGGCCAACAAGGGGGTCCCGTTTTGCGTTTCCTTGATGGATTTCTCAGCCTTTTTCGTCACTGCGTGCCATTGAGCACCATCACGTCTCCTTCGAACCCATCTCGAACCTATCGTAATCGCTGCCCTCAACTCTTCAACAAAATTACAAATAGGCCACTGATTACTCAGAGAAGTAGCAGCGAAGGTTCTGCGCTGTTCAGTGACCCCTTCAGTAGACGTCGAACTCCCTCAACAAACCCCTTTTCGTCGATATCAGAAAAAAATGATGGTCAAAGTTCGATATACCAGCATGTTCCTGTTTCTACGTATATATCTGCACCACATTTTTTTATAGAGCGAGAGTGACTAATCTTTCATCAAAAAACTACATAATGTGCACTAAAATAAAACAAGCCAAAAAAGATCGATAGTCATGCACTAACCCGTACACTTTTCAGGTGAGAGTTCGGCGAATGGGGTGCACGAAGTGGGAGGACCCGCAAGTGAATTCTTGTTAACATAGTCGTGCATGGATGGAGAAAAGAACATTTCGCTCTGTGTCATACGATCTGAAAGGCCACAAAATTCATAAAACAAATTGTATTTGATGTATATGTACCTATACATGCGTACATGCTATGTCATCTACACAAAAAAGACCGTACAGCGGAACAAAGAGAAAGGCTATTCAGCTTCTCAAAAGAGTACTAAAATTGCTTCCACCGCTGAATTTGAGGGCTTGTATGACCTTCAAGCTTAGAAAACATAGATTAAGAGGAAAAACGCCGGAGTTTGTAGTAGTGCTGCCAGATGGGGATGCAGCGGCAGCAAATCCCATCGAATTTTCTAGATCAAGAAACGGTCGGATAGTTGACCTCTCCAACCAGGGTCAACCCTGTGTTGCTAAAAGTAGCAACGGGGTGATGAGTTTGTAGAGGGGGGTCGTATTTGCGTAAAAAGTTGCATGTGATGAGTGGGCAGTGTCAACCGTCCGTTGGACAAAGTCCAACGCAACGACGAGAGTAATGCCGAGAGTGAACGTACGCACGGAGACACAGACAGCTCGCGGGTGGCGAGAGTGAATGCCGGCGCGGAGAGCGGTGAACATCGGTCCAACGTCGCTCCAATATCGGTCCAACGTAACGGTTGACCCTGTGAGTGGGGAGCGGCGCGGGAGAAAATTTGCCGTTTCAGCGCGGTTATATACCCCAACCCTCCCACCCTCGTCCCGCTCGACGGTGTTTTGAGAGAAAAGATGGTTGTGAGGAGGGGGTCGTATGAAACATCTCATGAGGGAGGGGGGTCGTGAAAACTTTTTGAAAAGTAGCAACGATAGGACCGACCTTGTCTCCAACCGTCGTCGCTGAGGCCCTGTTCAGAGATGACCCCTTACGCGAAAAAAAAACGCAGCAGCGAAATAAAATAAAATATGTACCGACTGAGCGAAGACGCACAGGAGATCGTGAAGTGGGAGGATCGACGAAAATTAGTAACATACGCATTGACTTCCGACGCTTCGCTCACGCGATTTTCCGCCGGTTCGTTTCTCATAATCGATACATATCAAACTCTTTACTGAAATCCGCCTACTCCGGACGTTCCGTTTAGGCGTTCCCCCAATTAATGAGTATCTAAATCTTGGCGGAGATTTTCGCTTCATTTCGCCTCTGCGTTTTTTCGCGTAAGCGGGCATCTCTGAACAGGGCCTGAGACAATCTTTAGGCCGATGTCATAGTTTGCGAATCGAGCGATATGCTAGCGAATCGCTGGATCCGAGCGTTGCGCCTTCGCTGGCGCGAAGTTCGATCCGCTGGTGCAACGTTCGATTCGCTGGCGCAACGCTCGTATCATAGTTTGCGATGTCATAGTTTGCGAATCGCTCGATCCGCAAACTATGACATCGGCCTTATACTGGAAAAGGCCGATTTATGCAAACAGTAAACAGACTCTGGAGCTCAAACCTGTCAACTTGGCAATGATACTTCAATTAAAGGCATGAGTCGTGATACAGTTTGTGCGATACTTTGCTTGGAAATCAGGTATGAAGGGCGAAGAAACGTCAGTGGGGGAACAGGCAAAAATCACCATGAAAAACACTGAAATTTTTTTGTGCGCTAGATCGCAGTTGTAGGAAGAACACGACGCTGCCAGGAGAAGGAAATTGCGACAGAGCAGTCGCACGCGAGAGGGCGCAAACTCGGCGTGGTATGCCACGACTGAGAGGATACAGCGGTCGCAGCAGTCAACCAAAGGCACTAGCACCATTGTGCAGCACTTTTGACGCTAGCGTTTCACTTCTCCTAGGGTTAGGGGTCCTACTACCTCGCTCAAGGAGAAAATTTCTTCAAGCATCTGATCGCTGGTGCGTGCAACGCTTTTGTCAAGGACTTCCCACCAGGGTCAACCGTCACCTTGGACCATTTCAAAAATTTGCGACCCCCTCCCCCAGCATTTATTATGTACCGTACACTGCCAAAAAAAGCTAACATTAAATATTTCCATTCTGATAAATAAGCATATATCGAAAGGAAATATTTGTAGTCATTCTGAATTGCAAACGAGTGCATGGCTCATCTGGACCATGAGACTCTACTGTAGAAATGGGCATGGGAGCGCTGCGTTTGCATTGGCGCGCGCAATCTTCCCCTCGGCCTGTAGCAGACCGACTGAGGCGAACTACTAACTTTCAAATGAGTGTAATTATTTCCATGATCAACATTTTTTGAAACTCTAAGTAGTCTTGTAATCTAAGAGACGCTAAAGGATAAAGGATAAAGCATTTGCCGTTGATCAATTCCTTTTTGGGATGCGGCACGCATTCTACTTCCATTTGTACATTCGTAGTGGCGTTTGAATGCGATGTGGCCTATACAATGACTTGCGGGAGCCAGCCGATGTTCAAGTCAGTGTTTTTATCCTCCCAGACAAGTCTGGACCAATTAGCCGACCCCGGAGGGATGGAAGGCTTGGTTGGCCCGGGCGACTTACGACCCAGGATTTGATCCCCGGACCGCTCGTGTGGTGAGCGCGCCACTTGTCACTACACCACTTCCGCCCCCTACAAGAACGCTAGTTTCAGGGGACCACCACGATTATGTAGTTTCTCCAGAATTCTATTAGTTATGGGGTAGAGAATTAAGAATCCACAGAAATGCGCACTTCTTCATTTGAAAGGCTTAATTTTCTTCAAATATTAGGTTGTCTCATAAGTAGTGTCGCTTTTTTTCAATCCAAATTTTTTTATCTAAGTCTTATTCTTTAACATATGTTCATATGCCGTTCGAAAGAGAATCGTCCGCTCTACAAGATGATTTGTTCCGCTTCCACCTCTCTTCCAGACTTTTCAAATTTTAGGCCTGCGAAATGGCAAGTCCAGCCGAAAACAAATGACCAAAGCGGACAACTTATCTCTAACTTTATTTTCCATTCAGATAAATCAATCAATACGTACCCTCTAGATAGTGTGCTACCTTTCTATACATTTCACTATTAGCGTTTCCCAACAAGACTCTCGGCTCAATTCCAGACCTGTTTCAATCAGAATCGACAGATCAACAGCCGACCATGTAACCTGAAATCGGGGTCGAGAATTTTTTAGCCGTAGACAATTGAAGAATTAGTCAGAATTTACAAGACACAGGTCAGGACTAAGTCACGTTTAGCTGATTCTCATCTCCTTCGAGGGGCGCCCCAGAGATAATTTTGGCCAAGAATTGCGGTCACATTTCGTTGGAGCAACAGTCACCATACTCGCTACGATCCTAAACGTCGAGCCTAGATTGCTAACATAACTAATAAAACGAAAGAACAAATTGATGCGAGATAGAGCAAAGACGGGCTCACACAAAGGATAACTCCGAGTTGGGGATACTAAACAAATACGTTTCAGAGGAAGATTTTCAGATGTGAAATTGTCCCATGGCTTAGTTCCAGATAAAGACGCCAATTCGGAAAGAAAAACAGGCGTAAACGTTTTTGGAACCCTTTATGGGGGAATGTTTAGAGGAGGGTTGCATGAGTACTAGTCAGAGGGACTCGTTGACTTGACTCTCTCGCAAGGGAAAAAAAGTGTAGAGGTAGTTTGGGTCGTGTTTTGGTCATCAGATTTTTTGATGGTGGCGCGTCGCTCCCCATTTTCGAGAGGCCTCAACTTTGAACACACCATCGGGAACTATTAGATGGTAAGAGATAATACAACCCTTTGTAGTGAGTGCAGATTCAATTCTCTTTCAAATGGTGTATGACTCGATGTAAAAGCATGGGAATTTAGATCACAATTTTTTGGTTGAAAAAAAGCGACACTATTTATGAGACAACCTAATAAAATTGTGAGAACTGGCAAGAAAATTTAGAGAATATAGATTTTTTGCTCTCTAGAAAGTAAAACTTTTTTAAAGTTTCATTTCTTCAAAAAGTCGCCCCATTTGACCTTTTCTGTACAATATTTTGGCTTTCGATGACTATAACTCTTTTCAGACTAAACGTTGCAAATTTTTCCTACTGTAGAAAACAAGAGGGCTTGAGCCTTCTGATGAATACTTGATCTTGTTTACAAAAGGACGCCTTCAAAAAATCGTCCCGTTGGACCATTTTTTCATGACTTTCGGAACAACTATCAGGCACTAAACCCTTTTCAGGAACTCTGGCAACTGGTAAACATTTTTTCAAACTCCTTTCAAGCAGTTCCCTTCGAGAGCTCGATACTTGTGTACGTGAACTGTTAAATAAGGGCAGTTCTGCAGTGTACTCTTCTGCTCTAGGGTGCGCCATGCACTCGTTCGTGATTATTAGTTGGAAAAACACTCGTCATATCCTTCGTCCGTTGCGACAGCTAACGCTTCGATTCTAATCATTTACCACTGTGAGCCTAAGCCTGGAGCTTTGTTAGCATCTGTGTTACATTTCGTCATTCCACGCACTGCGACGTTAACTTCAGCGAATACGACTCCTCCTCTCTCCCACAGGCCAAATACGACCCCAACTTTGGATTTGATCCAACGGACGGTTGACCCTGCTTCTCACACTGTCATTTTGCGCCTAAATTCTCTAAGTGGGTGAGGAAGGAAACGGAAATTTGGAATCAGCCTGAGCGATCGCGGCAAGTTTTGTCTGCTCAACAAAGGAGGAATTCCTCATCAGATCTTTAGACACAACAAGCTTAAGCAGATTTATTCAACTGCAGTAAGCGGTAAATAGTATAAACAAACTGTTTCGTCACCGTTTCGACGAACCCGCACGGCCACACTACGGCTCGCGGGACAGAAGTGGGCGACACAAAACGATCACAGAATCCTTACAGGTTACAAATTTACTACTTACATACTATGAACTGAAAATATTTACCTAACACCTGCTATCCAGCAAATAGAATAGGGTCTACGTCCACTGGGATAGGGCTTGGGCCACAACTTATTACATTAACGACAATAACAAAAACTGTGCAACGCTTACTTCAAATCAGGAAGAAAAGGATCCCCGAAATGAAGTAAACTTAGAAATTACGGTATATTACAATTACTAAACAAATATGGAGACACGTAACTGAAACAGGGGAAAAAGTAATG